TCATTAGACTTCTTTTTTTTTTCTAATTGGGGTTAAGGAAATGATAAGGCTTTCGATTACTCTTCTTTTCCAGCAGACGTTGCTACGTCTCGGACTTGTAACTTCTGTAAAAATGATAGCATTTTAAAGTAGTGCTCCGCTCTTACTCACCATGCTGCACGCTGTCACTTGTACTGTTACAGTCTCGTACACACATACACACAGTCCTTCCACATTCATCATGTCAAATTCATTCGCTCATTGTTTCCAGGTAGTTAAGCAAAAGATGGTACAAACGTCCTGGGGGCCTTTTGCCCAGTGAGTGCTCATGCACCCCATTCAGGGCTCATCAGATTCCAGCTAACCTCCCCCCCACATCACCACCAAAACCGCAAGCTGAATGCAAGGCACCGTGCCAGTGTTCTGCAGATAACGATCTGGAAGAAAACATTACAGTATCACATGTTTATAGCAACGGGCACCACAACACGCTCGCCCCGGACTGACACGCGGGAGGGTCCCCCGAGGGCCTGTGCCTCCTGACGCCCCCCACAGGCACTCCACGGGATCTTACTCACCTGAGTGTGTCACCTGAGTGTGTCACACGCCCTTTGTTGGAGGGGGGTGAGGCAGCAGTGTGGTGAAGTACAGCGTCACCTTCACAATGTCATGTCAGTGCCTTTCAGAGTCACCCGCTCCATTCTGGAACATTCTATCCCTCTTATACACACACACAATATAATTTATATATATATATATATATATATATATATATATACAGTATATATAAACATACTTAACAAGAACGGCTCGTTGGCAGCGCCGGAGCGTAACTTTTCCTCTGGATAACTAGGAGCAGCTGCAGTTTAATAATGTTTGTAATAACTTTCCAATTGAAAGTAACGCTTATAAAATAAAATTGTATTTTAATGTTTTTTTTTCTTTAGCTCTCTCTCTCACCATTTATTAATTTTTTTGTCCCTCCCGAGCTGGAAAATAGCCGATTGAATTACCCCTACTCGCACGCTCGTAAAACAGAAGGGTTGTTTTACTCGCTGTGTATCTTCCCGGGACCCTGGAGTTGGGGGGGTGAAGCTGGCTCTGTGGGAGACACTCTGGTGATGGTGGTTTTCAGCTTCCCCATTAATTGTGAAGTACAGACATGAACTTTTCCAAAATGGGTATTTCTTCTTTTTCAGATGCTCACTGCCACTTCCTGCCTTGTCCTGCATTTGGGGTATTATCCCCAAATGTGTGTCCTGCCTTTGACCCTTCACTGCCCCTGGCGACCCGTAATTGCACTGGCAGACCTCTCCTGAAACACTTTGACATCTGTGCCATTATCGAGAATGGAGAGATGTGCACGGTGAACAACCTGACCGATCGAAATCTGCCTCTCAAAAAGCCTCTCCTGTTCTTTCACCTCAAATACCAAGAAGAAGAAAAAGATTTTTGTTTTTTCATTCTTTTCAACTGACTGACATTTACTCTTTTACCCACATTTTGTGCTCCCGGTATTGGTCCGTCCTGAGCATACACGCCCGGGTAGGTCCTGTCAATCGACACAGAAACGATTGTCGTCCCGGAGCAAATACCCACTTCCACAGCAAAAAGGAGTAAGGATGTAGAAGAGGAAGCCATGGCATCCGGTTGTGCCCCAAAGAGGACAAGCAGGGCTTAGGGAGTCGAAAAAGAAAAACAAACGGACAAAACAAACTAACAAACGAAGACAGACGTCTGCTGAGAGGGGCCTGTCGCACTCTGCCGCGGCGTTCTCTTTCCACCGCTTGTGTTTACGGGCGAGCCGGGCTTCCACGGCGAATACGTAATGCCGTAGCGATTCCGAACCCTGTGATCCCGGATTACACAGTCGGCTGCGTTGCACTTTTCGCCCCGCTTGAGAGACATTTCCCTGGCTTGGAATCCGGCCGCGTTATAAATCCGACTCGGGGTGTAAAATGTGGATTACAAGCCTGCGCAGCTTAGTTTTCATGTAGCCCAAATTAACTGCGTTAAAAGCCGCACTTTGTCATTGGGGGTAACCCTGAGAAGGGGGCCCTCTCGGAGATGCGGCAGGCACCGTGCGTTGGCGTGACCTAAAATTCGTATCCCAGCCGCTGAAATAAAAAGTCATCCTCTCCAGCTCCTGTCTGGGGGGGGGGGGGATTTAACCGGGATATCACCTGGATGGAAATCAAAATGAAACAAGAAAGAAGAGTGAACGGAGGTAAACCCGAGAGAGCGGACCCCCTGACGGTATTTGAGGTAGCAGCTGCCTAACACTAGTAAACCCCCCCACCACCACTGCTACTCACCCTGGTTTTCCGATACTCACGCCTGAGTAATCTGTGAGGAGCCCCGAGTCTCTCTCTCTGGGCCAAGTTGAGAGAGATGGAGCACTAGGTGCTTAGGTGTAGACACAGTTCATCCCGCCCTCCCTCAAGCTAATTCTCCAGCAGTCCCCTAGATGCCCCCTTTGGTGATGGGGGCAGGGTGGGGGGGTCACAGGAAAACAAGCCGATTTACGAGACTCCTGGGTGGGAGGCGGAGTGATTGCACAGACATGCTGACCAGACTGGCCGAGCGGGGCGACTGGGCGACGGCTTGCTCGGTAATTTCCACAGTAAATACGTTAACTGGACAACTGAATCCGAACCGCTGAGTCAGCTGTTGGGATAATGGGAAACCGGATTGGTCTGACCGAGGTGTCAGTGGGAGGAGCCTGAGTCGTCCCAGGAAGCAGCTGACTCCTCTAATCACAGGAAGGAAGAATGCGACAATCTAATTCAACAAGAACCCCCCCCCAAGAGCGAGCATTTCCTGCCCTGTTTCAGTTTCGGTATCAACACGTGGCAGACGAACACAGGAAGCACAACATCTGGAATCGGGACGTCCCATCTTGCCTCAGTGGGTTTCATTGCATGGCATTAAAATGCAGGATGTTGCAAGCTGCAAGAAATTAGAAACATCGATTTGGCTGCTAATTTGATTGAGACCCATAAACATTCATGATCCATAGAACCATGAGACTTTATAACTGTCGGCCTATTTCCTATCTAAAATAAATTAATGTTTTGATTAAGTTTTACGGCATTTTTCATTAGCTAATACATTTATGTACTGAACAGGATTCTTGCTGTAATCTATAAATACGGCCCGCAATTTGTACAGTGCAATTTTTTGCTTAGTTTGATTGCATTTTCAGTTAGGGGAACCAAAAACTTCTCAATTATACAATCGGGGGAAAAAACCACCCTCTTCATTAAACACTGGAGCAGCACCAGAGTCCTTTTGGGAACCATTACACGCAGTGCCATTTTAAAAACAAACAAACATTTGTATCTCCAGATGATAACCTTGATCAAAGCGATATATATTCTGCCGACTGAAATTAATATTTATATTTAAAATCAATCCCGGGGTAATTACATGCTTGATCGCTTTGCGGTTTAGACAGCAAGGTCTTTGTTCCAGTGACTGCAGGACACATCAGTGATTGACAGGCTGTGGTTCTTACCCTTGGTATTTAAAAATCACTTCCCCTGTCAAAACAATGAAGGGGGCAAAATGGAAAGACCCAGCCCCCCCCCACCCACCCCCCCCCCCCCGCCGCCCGATTTCTCAGGCAGCAGCAAGCTGACAGGTGAACATGCCCGATGAACATCTTCTCCAGGGGAAAATTCCAGGCCATTCTCCTGTGTTTAACCTGAGGATGAACCTTCACTTGTAAGAAAATGGCTGATCCTCAGAGCAGCACACAGGTGTCACCCCCCCCCCCCACCCTCATAGCACCAAGATGGCAGCAAGGTCACACACGTGTTATAACCTGCAGCCTTGCCACGAACAATAACTTTTATTTGTTTTTTGGAAGATCTAACGAAGATGAGGAACAGATGAAATTCTGCTTCATAATAATGCAGCTGTAATCTTCATATCCAGGGCTGCTGCTTCAAGTGCAGGATGCTTTCAAATGCAACATTTTTAAACAGACCCATGGATTTAGTCTTAAAGGTATCTTGACCCATGTGACCCAGGTGATCTGCTTGACCCGTGGCGATTTAGGCTGTTCCTTCCTGTGGTAATTGAGTGTTCTAACATGCCTCTCAACGTTAAGACCCAAAATATGTACTTTTAATATGCTGTGTTTTTCCCTCTGGATTCCAATGTTTATTCTATTGTACCTTCGAAACTGGCCAAAACCAACACAGGCTGATGTATCAACGGCAATCTAGTCTTTTTGACGATTTCAGTTATGGTTGGCGGCCTTAACCCCACGACCACAAATTAAAAATGCGGTTTTCTGGCTCGATGGCCTTCAGTACTTCAATGGGCCAGTGATGATTGCCGAGCTAAGCAGCCCCCCCCCCCCCTCTTCATGCTCCAAGGTAAGCAAACACATCCACTCCCTCTCCGCTGAGCTTCCTCCTGCTACCTCAGCAAACCTGTTGCTTTTGAAGGCGTCCTCCTTAAGTCTGAGAAAATCGAAAAACGTTTTGGGGAACACCTGACACAGGTGGCCGCCTAGAGTGTCATCCTCATAGGAGATGCCAAGTTAGCAAACAGCCCACGCCAAGCCTGTTGGGGGCAGGACTGGTCCCGGTGCTGAAGCCCACCTGCAGTCACCACAAGGGCTTCTACTAGCACTGAGTTCTGGTACCTTTAATTACCGTCTAACTCACTCTAGCTAATGGTGCCTAGTTGGCCAGTAAAAGTCAATAAGTCCTGATCTAATAACTGATGTATGAATAATTAAATATGCATCTATAATCTCTGGTAAGACCACCTAACATAATTAAAACTCAATGGACCATGTGATTTGCTCCTATACTTTTCACTGTGAATAACAGCAGCCATATTTGCCTTAGAGCCCATTCACAATAGAGAATATATTCTTTCAATATAATAAAAATAAGGGACATTTTTCCTACATTTTCAATGCTGCACGACAGACTTTGGATCTTGTGCATGAAAACAATCTCTATGAAATAATTATTAGAAATAGATATTAATAAATGTAAACATTTTCAAAGGCTTTTGATATGCAATTTTATTAAATGTATTTAAATATGCAAACTGTCACTCATGTACAATAGAAATTACATCATAGCTTTCTGGAACAAAATAGTACATTTTCAGCAAACACTTGTAATTGTTCATTCCAAAACAAGTCATTAAATTTTCCCAACAAGCACAGTATTTACATCAGAAAAATATTACACGGCTTTATATGAAACAAAAATAGACCTTTTTCCGAAATGTTTTATTTTTACAAACAGGAATATTTAAAAAAGAAAAAGAAATGGTTTCCAAATCGGAAAATAGACTTGCTGGCAAGCGGGTGAGACATTTTTATACAGGGAAGTGTATACTGGGAGTCCGTCTGTCATTCACAGACAAGGGGGTTTAAAGTATCTGGATGCTCATGTCGGGGCCCGAAGGCTGAAAACATCTTTAAAATGTTTTCAAATGTTTGGCAGTTTCTCTGCTTCACTGGCAGGGGGGGGGGGAGATTTATTCTTTTCTGGGTCTCTGACAGCTTAAGAATCTTTCCTCTTGGCAATACAATCAGTGCAGTGTCAAAACAACCAACACAAAGAAAACGCAACACTTTTTCTTTCAGCCGAATCAAAATGAAATACTTTCCAAATGCATATTTTTTAAATCACGTAGTTTGTTCCATAGAAAATAACTTGATTACAGGTACAGGTGCCCGTGCAGCAGTCTGCTCCCGCTGATATCGGTACTTTGCCAGATACTACTGAATTGAAATTAATATGGAAACGCAGTAAATCAGAATTACTGGATACTTCCTGGTTAATGTTAGGGTCTCATTAAAACACTGGCACGAGAACTGTCAAACACACAGTATAGAAAAAGCTGTATGAAGCTGCACTCGGGGAAACTGCATTAATAATTCATGATGTTACACGTTCCATTTCATTTTTCATGTGCCTTTGCCTGTTCAGTTTTTAAAGAGAGCACCGACAACTGAGCTTCACACTAAAAAGTCAAAATATTATATAAAAGGTATAATTTCTAAAATATTTTAATTACGCTTTATTTTTCCTGGCTCGCTAGGGTATCGTAAAGTTTTAAAAATCGTTCGACCTAAAGGCACCTTTGCCAGTGTAAAGATTTTACAAATGCACCGTGTGTATGAACACACACGGACGCATAAAGACACGCAATATTTACAAGCTGACATAACGCGGGGGGGGTTGGATGCCCCAGGACTTGGGACACTTTCCTCCTGTGGAGGAGTCACAACACAAAGGACGGGCTTCTGAGGAAGAGGCTGTATGGCATTCAGGACACCGGCATGGGAGGGTCAGCTGATCCCTTTGTGGGAGCAGTGCAGTGTTTTGGTTTCTGTTTTTTGCAAGGAATACTGTACTGTAAGGTGTAAAAATCCTGCTCCCCCCATCCTCTGCCTGCCCGTTGTGTTCAAACCTGGCCGGACGTCTGAACCCCAGCAGGTCACTTTGGCAGTGCTCTCGGCAGCAAGTGCTCATGGGAACCGGGTCTGGCCCAGTCCGCACCCTTAACTCGCCGCGCACATGTCTGGCTGCAGTGACGGTACCGGTTCTGACACGCGCTCCCCCGCCGGTGCTGTGCCACGTGGCTCTGTGCCCCCCACCACGCTCAGGTCCTGGGGCTCCGAGTGTGGCTCGTCCCCCTTGCACGCTGCGCCCCTGTGGGCCTTCTCCTCCTCCACCAGCCGGGCCAGCCGCTCCTCCGCCTCGATTTCCTCCGTGGTGGGGATGGAGTTCTTCTTCGGCCTACCTTTTGGCTTGGTGGGGGCTTCCTGTCCCCCTTTGAGGACCTAGCAGAGCATAAAAACGTCCCATAAAAATCTGGAGACATTGGCTCTTTGGGGGAGGGGATAGGGTCACTGGCAGCAACAGTTATTACAATGATTACAGGAAGATGGACGAGGTTTGGGTCTTTGAGATCAGTCCTCCAATCATCAATCTCTCAGATCAGTGAGCCTCTGCCTTTGGCGCGATTGGCTGAGCTGCCTGACATATTGCTCTCCATCACTCACATTTCCTCATCACCCGCCCCCCTCTCCTGCCCCACGGTTCCCCCCCCCGGCTCTTACTATTTTCTTCCACTTCATGCGTCGGTTCTGATACCAAGTCTTGACCTGTAGCTGCGTGAGGCCCAGCGACTGGGCGAGGTCCAACCTGCAATGGGGGGGGGGAGGACATGAAAAATAATTTTTTGGGAGGTGTGTAGATGCAAAGGGCCTCAGACTCTGGAAGTAGCTTAAGGAGAAGCTGACTGTCCAAATGCACATGGAAGCACATGGACCCAACATCCTGCCCAGGCGAAGCTGGACAGAAACATCAAACATCAAAATGTCAACATGCAGCAACTGCCATCAAGCAGAATGTTTTATATAGAAGAAGAGACCTTTCCGCTAAATTGCCAAATGAAACCCAGCATACATAATATGAAGTATTAATAGTTTAACATATTACTTTATATACTCTTTCATTTGTCAATAAGCTTTAATATGTCACATCTTGGCAAACAACCAAAACATGTAACATTTTTTGGGGGCCTGGATATCATTAAAACTTATTACTTAGGATTTATTGACCTAAATTTAGTAGTGGGACAAAAAGTAATTAATCATCTTTACATTGTGATAATTTTACTCAGGAAAAAACAGGATTTATCCTTTAAATCCACAAATATACATTATAAATCCATGTACGGATCGTCCAGCACTTGGCCATAAATCAGATACCGTAATGTTTAAGTCGTCTGGGAGAGGAAGCAATGCTGTGTATGCTCTTGACACTGACCCAGAGCGTAACCGTGAGGCTAATGCTAGCTTCGGCGCGGCTCGCGTTCACGGTTAAACACAAACCAGTCGCTGGGTTGGTTTTCAAGGTCGGGCCATCAGCTCCAGAACAGCTGCTTTCGGCCCGAGCGTTGAGGTGCTCGTTGGCTGATCACAGACAAGTGTGTGGGGGTATAAAAGATGGTTATATCCACCAACAGCCACATCGTAAGCCCCTAAAATGGTCTCAACCGAGATTTCCTCCACGTTTTCCCTGTAAAGTCCCTCACGCCCCCGTGAGAGGGTTTCCCCCCTCGTCTGCACCTCCGCCAAGCCCAGCAATAATTTCAAGTGAACCGCGAAACGCTGCTGGAAATGATGGGATTAGCACAAAGCCTCCCAGGACCCCCCCTCGGTCAGCAGACAGGCAGAGAACATGGCCCAGACCGGTTCTGCGGTCTGCCCCAGCCCCGCCGTCTAATCTAGCACTGAAACCACCCGGAGCATCGACCTTCTTACATATGCCGACTGACAGCTCTGAACGCGACGTTTTCCGTTTGGCCCGAATATCCAGCTGGAATCCAGCTCCCAGGATGTTTGAGAATATTTCAAGTGAAATGCCCGTCACGAAATAATGGAACATGTCTTTAAGGCTAATCCCACGAGCAACACATGGAAAAAATGACAAGCCTTCAAACCACGACCGGAACATACAGGACATGGAGTCTGACACAATAATTCATGTCCATTTTCATTTTTCCTGCCAAATTTCCTTCCACTCTTTACAGGTTGAATCCACTTAATGTTACTTTATATGATTTATATATATTGAAGCCAAATGTTGCTAATAACTTTGATCCCACTACCCTCCAGCAGGGGCCAGTGTAGAATGGCACTTTTAAATTTGATTCAGTATTTTTAATTTGTGTTTCTAATCATCAGACTTCGTAATGTGTGGAAACAGATCAGTTAGGTGTTGTTTAAACCAAGTGTCCCTCCATAATCTCCTAGAATTTTCTAGATCTTTTGTGTTAAGGTGGACAAACTATTTTAGGATAGTGGACCCTCTGTATCTGCTGGTTCGGTATCCATGGATTCAACAGTCGGCGATTGAAAATATTCGGCAAAAAAAAATATTCCAGAACGTTCCAGAAAGCAAAATTTGAATTTGCTGCGAGCTGAGCACTACACTGAATCCACGTGAAGGGAGTGATGTGTACTTCTGGGTGTTGCTGGTGAGTGCTGACAAAATGGAAGAGAAAAGAATGGAAAATGGAAAAGAAGAGAGAGATGAATTTCTACTTTCTTAAATAATATTTATATTTTCTATATGTACTGTAATGGTTGCATCTATACTGAACATGTACAGACTTTATTATTTTCTAAACAATATGGTACAACAACTATTTACATAGCATTTACATTGAATTAGGTATTCTATGTATTCTAGGGATATAATTAAATTATACGGGAGGATTTGCAAAAGTCGTTTTATATAAGGGACTTGAGCATCTGTGGATTCAGATATCCGTGGGGGGGCCCGGAACTGATTCCCCGTGGAGGAGATGGGGACGGCCGGCTGTATTTAGTCATTAGTCATAGTGCCGTTGTGGGTGCAGCTCAGCTTTGATGCTTTTTAATCATGTCGGGAAAGATGTGTTTAACGCCCCTGCAGAAGCTCCCTAGCCCAGTCCAGGTCCAGGTCCAGGTCCAGGTCCAGGTCTCGGCTCTGGAGGCAGCTTACCTGTCAGGGGTGGAGAGGTACTTCTGCTTCTGGAACTTCTTCTCCAGGCCCATGAGCTGCAGCTCGGTGAAGATGGTGCGGCTCCTGCGCGGTTTCTTCAGCCGGGGGGCGCCGTGCTCCGCCTCCGACTCGCTGCTAACGCTGACAGGGGTCTCGCTGCAGAGCGGCTCGCCAGCGTGCGACTGAGGGGAGGCCAGGGAGAACGGGGGCGAGGGCTGGGACAGGTGAGGTACGCTGGGGGGCTGCCGCGTGATGACAGACAGGAGCGGGTAACCCCGGATGGAGGAGCCTGAGGAAGGGGGAAGGGCAATCAGCATACACTAAAAACAAGCAACGTTCGCGCCTCGGTTGAATGAACGAAACGGGATGTTGGCAAGTGAAGAACTGAAAACTGCAGCAGCTCTTCACTTAGCCGTCACGGTTCCAGGAGCCTCAAATGCCTGTCAGGCAAACGATCGCAAGTTGGGATCCAACAGAAAATCGTAAAAAATTGCAACAAAAAAAAAAAAACGAGAGAGAGAGGATCAGCATTTCACAGATCATCATGCAACGCTGCACGCACCGTCGCATTACGACCGCGACAGGTGGTCGGGCACGCAAACCGCTCTCCCCCCACCTTGGCCGCCGTCCGGGGGGGAATAAGGCAGTGGGAGAGAAACTTAATGGCCCTGAAGATTTAGCAGCGATGGGACTCGATTTACGCCTTGAGTCCTGCCCTGTTCCATCGAACTCCTGCATTTAATAATTATTTTACGAGATGGGGGGGGGGACACGAGAGACACAGACACGACTCCACCGTGATCTCCAGCGATGGGGGCTGTAAATCCACCCCGGGTGAGGACCGGCCCCTTTAATCCAGACATTTCTCAGACAGCGCGGAGACACTGAACCAGATAAAACTCTTGCACTTGTCTGGAGCTGGGAGTCGAGCCGGAGCAGATATTCCCTATATGTGAGCTTCGCATAAAAAAAGGAAAAGTAAAAAAAGAAAAATGCAGGGCTTTGGATATAAATTTTCTCTCCCCTGTAATTTAGAAGTAAATTAAGAGTGACGTGGATTTTATGGAGAGGGGATACGAGAGGCGAAGCCCAGTGCTGTAGAATTATATATGCTCTTGGGTGTATTTTTTCTCATTTGTTTTCCCTACTGCGGTATATCTGTAGATGTCTCTCATATCTTATCTTTTAATGACAGACTTGGAAAATAAGTTGACGGCCCTCCCCCTTAGAGAGGATGCGAATGGTGATAATGATTGCAAATGTGGCCGCCGTTGGAACACGGCCTTTCCTGCACAATCGCAAGTTTGGATGTCCTGAGACAGAACCGGCTGGTAGGTGATGCGTAACTGTCTATCTGGTCCGTGCTGCGAGGCCTCCCCTTCCCACCACCCCCCCCCCACACACACACACACACATCCTCCCCTCCCTCTCACTCAAAGTGACAGAGCTGCACTCAAAGGCTCCATGACATCATTACTGACTGATGACCTCATCGGCAGTCTCCCACTTCGGCGAATCGATGGGCACCACTGCAAGTCTGAACACACAGGGCCATACCCCCGCCCAGTCATCCCCCCACGCCCAACTCTTCCCTCTTCTGTCCATCTTTTTATCAGACACCCCGTACAGAATCCCCTTACTAGCTTATCCCACCACACTTGCTGTCATTAATGGTTAATATATTAATAACATACATAGTTCAAATTATACTAGATTCTTTTTTTTAAAATTTTTAAGTCGTCTGACCTTGTACACTACCTCAAAAAACCCAGCTTCGGGTTTATAATTTTAATAGCACATAATATTTACAGTCGGTATCAAATTTTTTTAAGGGGTTGCACTAATTCCGCGCTTTCCCCTCCGTTCAAACTAAGCTACTCCAGTACCACATCACTCTCCATCGGACAGAAACCACTTGCTATTCTGCTTTACCTCATGTCAGTGAGCCTTAACAGCAAGTGGTCCTAATCACAGCTGTGTCAGTTGCCTAGCTGTCAAAATCTTTGTGGGAAATCATTTATCTGTTAGAATCGTGTTTAGAAAGCCAGACCGAATCATCACCTGTTTCTGGTTTTCGTGTGTGCTCTCTCAAAATCCCTGGGCCTTCAAATGTGCCAAACATCCTGCGGTTCTCCTATTTCCTGCTCGTGAACTGAGTCAAGGTGATCTTATTGGACGTATGCGTGCCGATAAAAATCAAAAGTCACTGGAACTTAGTAAGCAACAGCTTAAAAAGGTTACTTCTTACAAAACCTGTCGATTCAGCTGTCCTACTGCCATTGCGATTATTACATTTTGCTACATAATTTCATCATAAAAAATATCGAGCATTTAACCACAACTGCTTCAAAAAATAGTTTTATAAAAGAAGTAAAGTCTGCAAGTCGTATTGGATAAAACATTATCCTAAGCATGAAATTAACTTTAAAGTGCTTTTAAACATCATGCTTTTGCCATTTAATTGAAGCCAACATATTGAAACACCATAAATTATGTTTCATATCATTCACTGTGCCACCAGCCTCCTACAGTAAGTGTGTTAGTACGGGCCTTGGACTGACCTCCGAGCAATCAGAGTCACCGACTGCACAGTGCGCGTGGTTTTGGCCGGTGTCGGGCTGGGCTTTTCGATCCATGCGCAGAGAACCAGAAGGCATTTCTCAGGCTATGTTCGTTTGTGCTAGAGGCCTAGCCCAGCCCCAAATGGTTGAAATGTTGGCTCCCAGTGACGACATGTCAGTACAAGCAGCTCGTGTTGTTGTGATACATTTATTATTATTTTTTAAAATTTCTTTTAAATGTACCGAATCATTATCCCTGGGCAACGTGCCAAGCTTGACATCATTTTGCCAGAATTATCCAGCCCGTTAAACTTGCGTATCAGTCGAATGACCTGTCCACGGCCCCTGGTCTGTGTCTTTGATGACCCGCCAAACTGCGCCGGTTCAGTCATATTTAGCTGATCGCCACTCGGTGAATTAGGAGTCTCAGACCTTGTTTACAGTGAGAGCTACTTCTACAAAGAAAGCGATTTCAGGAGCTTCATGTTTGACATACTAACAGGTCAAAACAGCCTGGGGTGGCAACTGTAAAAGCTGTCGACCAGGTGGGGAGGTTATGACAGTAAAAAACACAGTGTATAGGCAAAACAATAACAAATTAAAAAATGAAAATAAGCATGCTGAAAAAATCATTAGAAACCATTAGGAAAATCACTAATTACTAATGGGAACTGGCCTCTGTCTTCCATTAGGTACAGTACCATCCATAAGACTGATTTAAAATTTCCTACAGAATTTAATGGTTTCTACTGGCTTACTTTCTACCTTTACTGGTATAAAATACTGTTTCTACTGGTTTATATTGATGTCCAGCAACCCATCGTGGTTTTCCCTTATTTACTGATTACATTAAACTGGTATTAAATGTGACTCACTTTTTAAAAATTAATTTCTTGATTTCAGACCATTACCAGTTTTTATTTAGACTCTGGTAATATAGTAATATTGCTAAATATGGTGGCATATAGTTATGTGTCTAGTTTTGTAGAACAGTATTATTAAAATAATGTAGTATTCATGTTTGCAATGTAAACAAAATAAAAGACAAAACATTTTACCCATAAAGGAAGCTATTAAGAAGACTATTAGGAATTACCATGCAGTAAAAACTATACAATGGAATCATCTTACTATAAATATCTGAAGATTAAAGCCATAAAGGCCCATGACATGGGTTGATGGTTTCCACCAGGGTTAATTAAGCAACAGGGGTCATTAAGAACAATTAAAGAACCATTTACATAGCATTTACATTGAACTAGGCATTATAAATAATCTAGAGATGGATTAAGTATAAAAGAATTTGGGGTTCAGAGCCTTTAGTCACGCTGTCTTTGGAACTTCCTCCCTCCTGATATTCATAGTATTGGCTGTTTCTCTACATTCAAATCTCGGCTCCAAACTACTCTTTTTAAACTTGCTTATTCACCTAATTTTTTAACTTTATTTAAGTACCATTTTATTTATCAGATTGTGGCAACTTTGAATGCATTAATGCATACAGAAGTATGTTTGCATATTGCGTGGATTGTTTTTGTAAGGTATCCTTGAGTGCCTTGAAAGGTGCCTTTAAATATAATTATTAATAATAATAATAATAATAATAATAATAATAATAATAAGAAGAAGAAGAAGAAGAAGAAGAAGAACCATTAGGGATTACTAAAATAATACAAAAACGATTAGGAGCAACCATTAAAAACCATCACAAAGAAAACCACAGAAGGAAACCATTAGGGTTCCAATAAAGAGACTCAGAAACCAGTACAATTACATTTCATAAGCAGATTTCCATTCGGCTTGAACTATGTAAACCAGAAGGGCCCATAAGAAGCAATATACCATTAAGATAGCATAATAAACAACAAGAAGAATATTAAATTCCAGTAGAAACCATTAGCAACACTTAATGGTTACTAAGATTTCTAAAAAGTGTTTGTATTTTGTTGGGAGGGGAAGGGGGGCTCATGTGAAAAGTGTCCGTTTAACGTCAGCATTTTAGACTAACAACACTGTGCCAGATCATCCGACGCTCGTAAAATTTCACTCGGGTCGCTTTGGCCCCATTGGGATATTTGACGAATGATGGAAGGGAACAGGTACCGGGCAGGAGTGCCCCCCCACAGAAAGCCCCTCGCTAACCGAAGCCCCGTCCATCAGAGGGGCTCGACCGCATCCAGGTCGGCAACGCCCCCAAGTCACTCATCCCAAGCCAGTCCCACCACACAGGAGTCCAAGAGGAGCACTGCCGAGTGAGACCGCCACATGTCCACTATTCACCGCACTGACAGCGGACTTATCTCCGTCGGTCTTTCTAGAAATGCCTCTGAAAGCTTTGCCCCGAGTTCCGATGAGAGACGAACTTCCAGATGAAATATTATAACGCCGCATTAAACGAGCCACCTCGCTCTAGCTGGAAAATGACAACTTACTATATCTTTTTAAAAAAGGGGGAAGCAGAAAACAGCCAACCCACACGTCAAATTCATCCATTACGGTGACTTTAAGGCTCCCGGTATTGCTGCTATCAAGGTTTTTTAATGAATTAATCTTTCTATGATCATGACAATAAGAGTATTACTGTCAATTATTGTTGATGTTATATAATTCAGAAATGATTAAGAAAAGGAGATAATAAACTTTGTTATTGTTATTCTTTGTTCCCGCCCTCCCTCCCGTTTCACTGGTTTTTAAAACAAACACCACTGTCCTACGCTGGCCCCTGCTGGACGGTGCTGGACTGACAGCTTAGCGTGTGTGAGACACGAGAGTCGATCTCTCCTAGCGTTAGCTGTGGGAAAAAAGGCCCATGGCCTTTACCAGCTCAGAGACTCCATATCTGCCAGCTTCTATATTGGGATTGCAAGCCGTTGAAGTTCTTGAATATATGGTGTCTCACACCCCTACAGTTTCAAATAAATGGTACACCCCGGATCGGGAGCTGGGGATTATGCCACCCCATCTATCCACAACGGGGCACCCAGCAATCTTAGTGTCACGTCCTGCCCAATGAACGCAATGGGAATAGTTAAATGTACTTATATCACAGTTCCATTCAACCCCGTCCCTTTGAACTGTGAGTTCTGACACGCTTCCAGCAATGAGTAAAAAGCCATTGATCATTATCTAACTCATAACCCCATTCACTTATTAAACTTTCAAACAAGTTATTTACGTATACACAGCCCAGCTAATTAGTTGAATCCCTTCCCACAGTGAGACTCTTTAACCTGAGTGTGATTGATTGCTTGTTTGAGAACTATGCTATGTGCAAAATTAATTAATACACACATACATTGCGAAATTCATTTTAGATACATTGCCTATTGGATTTTCACTTTTTCCTCTACCGAAATGGAGAGATGAAATATCATTGCAAAATGTGCTAAGGGTCTTTAGCATAATGCTAATGCCTACGACAAACACGTACGTCTGTATGTAAGAGTTTGTTTCACCATCACAGGCTTTGAACAGGTCAGACTAAGTGTTAATGGGTGATATATGACATATGATATATGACGATCGCTGGACCACACCAGGAGTGTGAGACTCGTCTTCTGTTAACACTGTTCAGCTCTAGGAGTTTGTTTTTTGGGTCAATTAACGCTCAAGTGGCTCCCACTCCGATGTGGGCAGAATCAAACGGCATGTCGAACAAAACAGCATTGCTCGCATGGAGCAAATTCGGCTGGATTGTTCAGAGGATAAAACAAAGACAAGCCAGAACAGGCCCTGTTCAAGCATCGTTTAATATATTTTTTACCCTCTAGGGAAATGTTGTACGCATCACAAGTAATTTCCGAATGTCTGCGATATCCATATGAAGTCGCAAAATGATGAAAAAAATGTCTTGTTATGCAGCTACTGTCACTTGTAATGCAGGAAATGGATATCATCGTCGGTTTGCTGAGTCTCACATGTCATGGTTAAGCTGTAGACTTAGGTAAAGCTGAAGGAGATTTGCCAGTGAAGCAGGAATCGTGGATTTGGTCTTCAGTTTCGAACATGCTGTTCGTGGCACCATGCCCCTCCATTAAACGTCTAGACACACACACCTTCCGGAGTCACAATCGTACTCTTTTTTTGTGCTACGAACACACCTCAGGCCGCCTGTGTTTGGGAGCGTGTACAGTGGCGGAAGGGGGCTTGGAGTACTGACAGCCGTCCCCACTGCGACACCCCCACCTCAACACCCCAATGTGTCTGACCATGAGGGTCTTGGGTATGAAACGGCCTCACATCAAAGTGGGGGTATACAAAAGGGGGAACGCAGCTTCACCTTATTCAGACCTCACCCCACCCCACCCCACCCCCCAAAAAAATAAAAAATACTCAGGCACTAAGTATTCCTACAGGGGAATGTTCTGAAGGATCTGACTTTGCACAAAAACAAGTTCAGAGTCTCCCATACCGAGCAGGAGTCACCACCTAAGTCATACAGCATGTCCAGGCGGTGACTCCATTTGATCTTCTGAATCGCAAAAACTACCCTACGCTTTGCGATTATTCTGTACCCGCCCAGTCCTTCCGGAAGCTTTGCAGATAAAGATGTTACACCTCCAAGCTTCATATAGTGATGCAAGGATTTAAATTTACTTAACATTGTTTTCCAGTTAGTTGCGTGAATGTTATGGGGAAGTATTTACGCACTATTTATAGAATAGAATTGTGGCCTGTAAATACCATCAAGTGAGATAAGCAAGATCTTTTTTTTGCAATATAATTCACTCAATTTAAAAGCTGGAATAATTGTACTTTAACTGATGCTTTCCTGGCTGCTGAGGCTTCCTGCTGAGCTCTCTAATGTGGGGTCGATGGGTTAGAGACGTCAGCCGAATGAAAGGGCTATCCATGGAACTACTGCCGGAACATCGGCATTATTTTTGTGCTCTTTATTGGCGGATTGTCTTGACATCTGTGGGCCGACGGTGCGAAGTTTTGTTGCGTTAAATCACGTGTCGTTAGATCCTTCGGACTGGGCCGGAGCACAACGGAGAAGGTGTTCGGCTTGACTCACAGGCTGCAACTCAGACTTCTAGTCGTGAACCTCGTGCAATTGCATGGTTAATAAAAACAACAACTGCAGCAACAACAACAACAACATTATTACTATTTAATTATTATTAAGAACAATAATAATAATAAAAGTTCCTATTTGTGAAACTTTTCTAGCATGAAGACAACTCTACGTAGACCAAGTGTGCAGGAGGCCTTCTTTCAAAATCACATTGACGAAATATAGCTATAAAATGTAACATATTTATCATACAATATACATAACGTCCTCATATTTTGCGATGACTTTGACTTCGTAATGTGATACTATTTTTCATTTATTAGTCTATACCAGTTGCGAAGATTAAGGACTTTTTTTCGGGAAATTCAATTCATATAGAAAATAAAGACAAGAGAAAGAAAGAAAGAAAGAAAGAAAGAAAGAAAGAAAGAAAGAAAGAAAGAAAGAAAGAGAGATAAAAACAAACGATGTGCCAATATCAAGGCTCAGTAATGCATTAGACACTGGTCTGAACTGCGGCTATGTAACTATAGTCTACAGGCTAATCACGGCTGCACGTCTATGTACAAAATGGGGGCAAAACATCAGGGAAAGAACGGAACTTAAAACTGTATGGATCCAACTCAACATAACTTACATAACATATGTCTACATAAAATATTTTTAAAAATAGAGTAAAAACAGTTAAATAAATTCGTAAGTAATGCATCTGCCTGTATCTGCGCCAAAGTAGCTTAATACGAATAAATTCGGCTTAAATATTAAAACCTAAAACGTGTAATAGTGAAAATCCTAAGTCCTGCCAAACAGCCGTCATTGACACTGGGAAATTTGTGGGGTACATCCACAACTAATTCGTACTATCGGTCATTTTTCTTAAATTCCTAATCGTGGTACGTTAACATTGCCAAGATAAAAGTAAAGCCTACAGTATACATACGTATCATACACGCCGTAAGGTTTCTTCACTTACCGGAACATGAGTGCAGGGGTTTGGGTCGGACGATGAGAGAAGGGCACACTGAATACAAGGAAAGTTTCTCAAAGTAATCGCAGGTCTCCTTAGATAGTATTTCGTCAATCATAAAAGTCTTGTAGCGCCGCCTGGCTGCTTTCAGCTGCCCGGGAGAAGAGAGCCTTAACTCGGCTTGGCAATGCATTGTCGCCCGCTGTGTGGGCAAGGTTACCGCAAAGCAAAACTCAACGATGAAAACAAAACAGAAGCCAAGAGTGAAACTGTAGCAGATAACCGTAGCGTACGTGAAGATGTCGATTCGGGGAGTTAAAATGGCTTGCTGGTGCTTCCAGGAGGAGTGATTGTCTTCCGTCTGGGAGTTTGTCCGGCTGCGGAGTCTCTTCAGCGCCGCTGCGCTGCTTCTGTATATCGCGGGTTATTAATGGGCTGAGCACCAAGGGCCCCGGGCGCTCACTATATAAACGCTCTTCATGTTCATACTGTACTTCTCAGTCTCCGGACACTCTGGCTGTCAATCAAATCCCCTCTTTCTCTCTCTCTCTCACTGCCCTCTGCTCTCTCTTTCTCTTTCTCTCGCTCTCTCCCCATCTACCTGTTTGTCAGCCTTTAGTTGAAATAAACTTGCCATTCTCTCTCTCTCTCTCTCTCTCTCTCTCTCTCTCTCTTCTGCAGCTGATGGTGAAGGAAGGGACTTCTACGTGTCTCAAAGTCGCGCGCAGTTGGAGATTTAACTCGCGCTTTGCTTTGAGCGCAGATAACTTTACACTGTGGAATATCAAATTAAGAATGATAAAACATTTTTTTTTAAATGGACAAGTGAAACAGGAAAACTCCGCTCTCTCCCTTCATTTTTATAACAGTCCGCTATAAACATCATACTTTTAAACATAGATTTTAATACATAAAACTAAACGTGAAAAATTAAAAAATATTACACTTTTATCGCATATTACACTTTTCATCTGATAGCCTGCACAGGTTCAGCAACAAAATTTGCTGAGCTAAAAATTTCTTAGCCACATAGTTTGTTGTATTTCCGGAATGTAGCCTGTGTTTTAGCTTTATTGCTTATTTAATATGATTCACTTACTGTAATGAGCAGGTGTGTTTCAACAGCGCTTTCGCAATTGTTTCTATACTTGGACTATATACGCACTAATTATGTTATGCGCGTGCCTCCGTAATACCTTATTGTGGATGATTAAATTTAAAAAATCGTGGTCATAGTATTTCCTGTTGAGGTTTAGCTTCGGTTCCAAAGCAGATCCGATGCTCGTTAATATATATTAAATAAATTAGGGTACAAAACATAATTTTGAATAATAATTTTGTTTCTTCCCTGCAGTACTGACGTTATTTTTCGCTGTATGCATGTGGATATGGCCAAGCGTCACAGAAAAGCACGCCTAGTCATTTTGGCTTGAAAATACTTTTTAAAGCGTCTTCATTTGTCATTTGGGGCTTCCCTAGTAGCGCAAACCATTGACATTATAATTACAAAAGAAAACTTTGTGCAAACCATATAAAAAGGGAGAAGTCATTTTAATAACGAGGGAAAATTTTAAGCTTTTTGGCATTATTTTGTTAGGCGATAATTTCACTGGCCGGAAAAAAAATTAAGAGTAAGACTGAAGTTGACATTAAGATGGACTTTATCCCAGGGTGCTTTGCATTAGAAACACCCTGACATACATCACAAACGAACATACATATTATTACCAAACAGACCAGAAATGCAATTTGAAACTAGTTGGAAACATCAAGCGCCCGGCAATTTGTAACATTTTTCTGTTTTTATTCTCTACATTTTTATTGCTACATTTGTGATCTTCATTATAGTTTAGATTTCAAAATGTTATTTTAATGTATGTGACTAATATTGTACATTTCGTACGTTCTACATTATTTTGATTTTGGGATGTATCCTGGAAGAAGCAAAGATGATAATAATCAGCATATCGCATTCCTCTGTAACTATTTATTTCCATAATTTATAGTTTGCGACAATGTGATTTTCTCATGATTGAAGTAAATATTGTGATTGCCCTGGTAAAGTTGTTGTTTTTTTATTATTGGTTTAATTCTATATAATTAAAATTACGATTTCTGTTTTTAATATCATATAATAGTGATAATAATAATCAGTACAAAAACAAACAAAAAATATAAGCAATTTCACAGTTTTAAATGTATCTGTGAACTTTTGGTTACATTCATTTAAGCAATTCTGATAAGATGATAAATTAATGAGTTAACTGTAGGTTAATTGGCTTCCCAAATTATGAGTATCCCTTCTGTTAAATAATCATAATTTTAGCAGTAACCATAACTAATATCACATATAAATCTATTTGAACTCGAAATTATTAATTTATGTAGTCATTATAACAGTTGTAAAATCACATTAAGGTGAGAAAATACCTTGTATTCCGGCCCTTTCTTTCAATGAAACACCTGCACGCAGACACACATCATAATTATGTTTTTATAAGAGCAATCTCTAAAAGGTGACGTTTTTTTGGGGTAGGTAAATGTAATTTACAGTTGCAGAAAGGTAGTAATCTCTTTATATGACATTTTAAAAAGAGGTCCGTCTTCATAATTTTAAAATTGTGGTGTCCGCCTATACAATGCTCTAATTGTTTTACACATCACGTGCCAGAACCCTTCCCCGCAGATCGGAATAATTTTAATTTCCCTCATTATGTACGAAATTTGACTGTGTAAAATACGCTTCAAGAAATAGATAAATATTTTATTCTACATGTATTGCAAAAATTCCCACATGATTATTGTAATATGAAACGTAACACACACCGATTCATAACTAATGACTAATAACAATTTTAAATTAAATAAATATCGAGGAATGCGAAATTTTGGGTCTACATGCCTTTTTAGGCTTTAGATAATATGGACTTTAATTCGTTTGTTCGTTTGTCAGTTTTGTTTATTTCTAGTAAAGTGTTTTTTTTATTATTTGTCTTTGAATTATTAGATATTAAGCGATACCGCGTTATGATCGATTAAAACGGCACAGATCGAGACATGTATTATCATTATTACTATTGTACTGTACTGAGTTCATCCAGAGTGTTGGCAGAGATGTCTGCAGGTTCAGTTCTCAGAGCGAACGAGGGAGCTGCACTGTTGCCGGTTTTGCGCTGAGCTGTAGATGAAAGGCTGGCGAACACGGGCGTGAGCTCAAAGGCGTCAAGGCAGTTTCGTTTTTGAGGTATGTTGATACGCCATGATGACTTGATGTCGTGCATGTAAATACGCGGAGTTACTGGAGACTATCTTTATCACATGTGTACAACGGGGGCGGTGCCAGCCTCGTGGAAACTGTACCGAATTTGTATATAAATTAGAGTTTCCTTCTTATTATGCTCTAAGCTCATAATGGTTGCGTTGTTGAATGCATTCTCTTTCAGTCTTATAGTAACAGCTACACAATCACGTCACTTTTAAAAGGGCTTTTTAAAAACAGAAAAGGAAAAGTCTTAAGCATTTAAGGTAGACATTATACTCTTATACTCTTTGTTGACTGACTACAATACACGTCAGAATGATGGTCATTCTGAGGTAATGTGTGGTTCATGAACAGACTGATCACATACATGACCAAAGTGCAGGAGAACAATTTTTTTTAATTATTTTATTTTACTTTTACAGTGTGGGTTGTTATTGGGAGGAAATATGAAACTTTGAAAGGGAATATCTGTGCCTCCTGTCCAGCTGGCTGGATCAAAGTGACAACTGTGAGCAGGGACTGCCGATTTCTTTGCTGTTGTGGACAACAGAGTATTGGGGACGGGTTCCAGAGTTGGGGCGTTAGCCACTTGTATCACTACCAGCCCACAAAAAAACCCAGCTTCTGTTGTGGGGGGTAGGGGGGGGTCACCTCTGCTGGCAAGCAACTGAGGATACTCTTCTATAAAAGGCTATAGCACCCCCACTCCCCCCCTCCACCCGCACAGGCCCAGAGACGCCAGCCAGATCAATCAATTAAAACAGTTATGTCCCTGTCACTATGGCTAATAACAGCCTTCCCAGTACTGTCTGCGATTCCTCCAACTATAAGCGCGGAATTTGACACCCGTCAGATTGTGAGATGACAAAGAGCTCACTGTGTGGGTGTAGACCCATCAAACGCTGCATGTCTGCTGCACAAATGCAGATTATGGCCCTGCCACATATGGAGGGATTTCGGGCTCGACGTCACTCAAACTTGGTCGATAAGAAAGGTGATACAAGCGCTACGATATGACTTGAAATGTGCCACTTTCATTCTGCTACATAGCCCCTTCTAGCATACAAGTCTGATCTTTCTGTGCTAAGCCTCCATCACTCCAGCACAAGCTTCACTGGGTTTTTATTCCCCTAAACGTGAATAGTCAATATTGATATCAGTATAAACGCACATTCAAGAACGAGGAACAGGACTTCTGGGTAACTCTTTAATCAGTCTACTAATGCCAATCCGGCATTAGTTTATAGGTATGTAATACAATCCCATTTCCAAAAGAGTCGGGAAAATGTCAATAAAAACAGAATGCAATGATTTACAAATCACAAAAACCCATATATAATTGAAAACAGAATAAAGACAGCATAGAAAATGTTGAAACTGAGAAAAAGTATTGTTTTATGACAAATATATGTTGAATTTGAACTTGATGTCAGCGACACGTTTCAAAAAAGTTAGGAGCGGGCATGTTTACCACCATGTTGCATCGCCTCTTCTTTTAACAGCACTCTGTAAACGTTTGGGAACTGAGGAGAGCAGTTGCTGGAGTTTTGAAAGTGAAATGTTGTCCCTTTGTTGCTTGATGCAGGATTTCAACTGTTCAGCCGTTTGGGGTCTCATATTTTTTGTTTCGTGATGCAAAAAATGTTTTCAATGGGTGACAGGTCTGGACTGCAGACAAGTCAGTCTCACACCCGGATGCTTCTACTACGGAGCCACGTTGCTGTAATACGCACAGAATGTGGTTTGACGTTGTCTTGCTGAAATATAAAAAGCCTCCTCTGAAAAAGACGCTGTCAGGATGTAGATCCAAAGCCTGTATATATCCTTCAGCATTCATGGTGCCTATGCAAGCTATGCAAGCCATGGGCACCAATGCACCCCCACACCATCACAGATTGTGGCTGTTGAACCACCCAAGTGTTCCTGAGCCCATGCAGTGATTTCACTGTAGAATCATGTCTGTTTTTAATGCAGTGCCACCCGAGGACCCGAACGTCACGTCTATCCATTATTGGTTTTCAGCCTCGTTCCTTGTGTACAGAGATTTCTTCGGATTCTCTGAATGTTTTAGTGATATTATGTACTCAAATTCTTTGCGATAATACATTGAGGAACATTATTCTGGAATTGTTGCATTATTTATCCACACAATCACACGGAATGTTGAACCTCTCCCCATCTTCACTGCAGAGACTCTTTTTATACCCAATCATCTTACTGACCTGTTAAGCCAATTAACCTAATTAGTTGTGAGATATTCAACCAGGTGTTTTGTTTTAGCATTTCGCAAATTTTCCAGGTTTGTTGCTCCTGTCCCAGCTTCTTTGAAACGTGTTGCTGGCATCAAACTGGGTATATATTTGTCATAAAACAATACAATTTATTGTATATTAGCTACAAGGCAATAATAGTTCCTGGAGTGATTCTTTTAAATCTAAATTTCTCTTCAAATCACGTTATTAGGTTATTAGAGCAAATAAGCTAAAAGAAAAAGTATTAACAGCCCTCAAGCAGAACGGAATGACTAAGCGTCTTGTTGCTTATTTTCGAATTATTCAGCTTCTTTATCCCGACTGGAATAAAGGGCGCCATCTGCAGGCCGACATATAATATAGTCAGAAACACCGTACGCTATTTATGAAGTTAACCTTTGATCAATATGGATATGCTTAAACATCACTACATTGTTAAACTTTTTAAAATTATGACATTAAATTAGCGTCCTTAGAATTTTTTTCGATCGTTGTAAAGTGATGATTGAAATATCGTTTATTGGTTAAAATATTGCAAACTGCTCCCTTAGCGCAATGGCAGCGTGCCTTACGCTTCGGTACTTACCTCTACACCAATGCCACATTATTTTTTGCTTACGTTTGAAATGGTTGGTGTGTTTAATCGCTTGCAACTACAGTCAAAAGTCCATTTCCACACAGCACCGGCTCGGCTCAGAGCCGCTGGCCAAGGTTCTGAAAGCCAGCACGTTTGTTATTACAAGTCCTACTAAACCGGGAACGTGCGATTAAGTTTGTTTCCGTGTCTTCCTTTTATTATTTTTCTTTGGAAAAAAAAAACTTTTTTGTTTTACCGGATCATTGTAAGAGAAATATTGACTAGAGAGAGATATTTTTGTACTCAGCTTTGGAACATATTTTTATATATTATTGCAAGAACGCCTGGGTGACAGACAGCTGACACTCACGAGATAAGCTAAAAGATAATTGAGGTAAGATGCAAATTGAATATAGTGCATTGAGTATAGTGTAAGTGAAGTATCTGTGTTGCAAAGTGTACGTCCTACCCTAACCAGTCTGATCTGGTTCTGAGGAGGAGGTGTAAACTGTTTGTGTACCCCTATAAAAGTTATGCTGACCAGGAAAGTCTTTGGAACATACACGGAGATACTATTGAAGTAGTTGTTCCCTTGAGCTCAATAATAAAGCGAAGTCACATATAAAGGCATCCATCTTAGTGTCATAAATTTGCAGCACATCACACAGACGATAAGTCATTCTCTATACGGTAGTATCACCTTGTCACCTGCCATTTGAAAGGTTAACATAACCTTTTCGTCAACTAAAAACTTGCATAAATAATTCATATCAGATATGGATCATACATTGGCCTAGAATGCCAGGCTTATCTGAAACAAAAGAATTTCAGAAACAACGGACAATCTCTGCCCATGGTGTACCCAGGAAATATTTCCGAAATATTCAATTTCCCCCATCGGCAGACAAAAAAAAAAGACAACTTACGTAAACATAAGAATTTATTTAAAATACCTGAGCTTTCTAACACAAACCTTTCACATGTTCATAAACATGGTCTTTTTGAAACAGACTGACAAATTTCCATAGGTTTTGTAAAAAGCACAACTATAAAATAATTCGGTCTTGGTCATTTATCAGTGGTCAAAGCTTTCTGTCAGAAATGACAAAACAGCTCAGGATTTTTTCTTTTTTTTTTCTTGTGTTCAAATACATTTTTCAAATACTCCAATTATCCATTCTAGTGCAGGCTATTACTACATTTCAATTGACTCCACTTATAAAACAATGAAAATATGTGGGGTTTGGGGGCCAGAACATAATGCATGTAAAATGTAATTAAAACAAAGGATCCCAAAAATGGTGTACATGTCTGAAAAGTGCACATTTTTACATTTCTTGTACAAAGCACATATTTACAGAGCTTTTTAAAGTTTCTTTTTTAAAAATAAAAAATAAAAAAATGCAAACCATAACTGATGTGTATCCATTATCTCTGCAACTCCACCATTGCGATGTTTTGGGGGTTTAACTGCAGCACCTTGCAGGCACTTGTGAGGAATCACTTCTTATGCAGCGTTAATCTTTTGGAAAATAAAAAAATTAAAATACATACAGCCTGCTTTATGCCAAATTCAGCACCTGTTTGTGACCCCTCACCTCCAGACATTACTCCATGTTTCCCTTATTATAATCAGTCTATAAAAAGTATTTTTGTTTAAAAAGTAAAAAAAAACCCAAAAACTTAAAAAAAAAAAAACGCAAAACAAAAAAAGTTAAAAGAAAACAAGAAAAGAACTCCTGTTGAGTCAGTAGCGTCTCCAGCGGCCATCTCTGGATGCATCTCTTCGTCTCTCAGGATAGTCTCGGCTCCGCCCACCGTCTCTATCGTCATGGTGATAGTAGTCGCTCCTCTGGCCCCGCTGATGCCTTTCTGAGCAAAACTCCTGCTGGCGCTGGTCCCTGCTGTAGTAGCTGGCATTTTCGTGCTGGTGGGAGTGCCGCTGGCCCCTGGACATGGGGCTGTCCTGCTGCCACGGGACTGCGTAGCCTGGGCTGCCCCCGTGTCCCTGGTTCTGCTGGATGCTGCCATTCATCTGCATTTGCCGCGCGTTCATCTGGGGGGCAAAACAATTCATTCAGAATTGGGGGGGCGGGGAGATAACAGTTAATGCTAAAAAGTTTGTGCTTTTCTTAAATGACATCACAACAACACAAAGAGCAACCTTCTGTTTTATTTCTGAACGAAAATGCCTCTTAATTAAAAGACGAGGCGTCTGACCTCAGCACAAGCTCAGATAAGTAAAGTAATTATCTTTCCCTCGACAAACAGAAGAAGAATCCAGTCTCTGTAGTTCAGTTCTTGGTTTACGTTTTTTTTTTTTTTCCCCTCTTCTTTAATTGATCCTAAATGGAATTGTTCTGCATGGAGTGAGATCACTCACCACTGCCTGCCTCTGCAGATTGTCCGGGGATGAAAAGGAGCGCTGCAAGATCTGTGGCGGCGAGTAGGATGGGGAGCCCATCTCATCCGTCAATCTGTCATGCCTGGATACATCAGTGCAGGGGATACAGATTAAGCACTTAAGTACATTTCAAAAAAGATCAAAAGATTGTGCCCATCTTTGGTTACTATTAATTTCCATTTCAAATGCCTTTAAGAGTCTCCATGGAAATACTGCAGCCCCTTGCAAAGCAACATGCACATGAATAGCACCTATCATCGTGCTACAGTACCTGCCCCCACGGTGAGTAGGTGTGTTACAGGGACTGGGGTTCTGGAAGCTTCCAGGGCTGCTCCCATCTTGGCTTATGTGGCTGCTTCCTGCATAATAAGAGGAAACAATTACCAGCCTGCTGCAGCAGTCATGTAACCGGTTCTGTATTTCTGATCAGTCTGGCACGTGTGTGGTTTGAAGACAGAGCCACTCCTCTGTTAAGGTGCCAGTATTTTACACATGAAACACCTGACTGCATGCCGAAACAATGACTTCAGCTAACGCTGAGCCAGTGCATCCTTCGCCTCCTTTGTGGAGCGGCCAGAACTTCCCTTGGCCAAAAAGAAAACCTGGACTGGGTATTTACGGGTTGAAAAACACAGCTTTAACCGAAAATTATTCCGAAACAACCCCCCTCACCTGCACGAAATTGTATTTTCAGAGGTCTTCCAAAGAGCCGAGTTCCATTCAATAGGTTCATCCCGTAAGGGACAGACACCTCATGCTTGAAGTTAATAAATCCAAACTGTTTAGACCTTCCATCATTGTCCTTAGGTATTTTTACCTTTATCAAGGGCCCAGCCTAAAAAATAAAATGATAATAATTGTATTGCCACTCAATAATGACAATTGAAACCAGAATAGGCGTGCTAGCAAACTACTGCACAGAGATGATGATCACTAGAATTACCAGAATTGTACTGTATTCAATTAAATAAAATGCTGACTTTCTCCAGTCAGATCATAGTGTGGTCACAATTTTTATGCAAATAAACCTTTCAAAGGGGGCAGTGCACTTGATAATGGGCACCACAATTAATGCTGTGCATTTTATGGATAAATTAACGCTTTATCACTATACGTTTAAGAGACGGAAACAGAAGATGCGCCCATATTCTGTACGTATGTAGCGCCAATCCCGCTGCGTCAGTTACGTAGGCCGAACGGGAGTCTACGCCGCCTGCGTAACGCGGGCAGCAGACGCCGTTTTAAAAAGACCATTGTCACTCCCAGCTCAAGGCTCAGGTACTAGAACTAACTCGAGAAAGTATTTCGGCTCCTACGCTGTTATACCAACATAAAATGTTCACAGACAACTTCCTAACATACGTTTACGGAGTGAAAAATGCGTATTACTATTACAGCCATTGGAGCCGAGGGCGCAGATAGCCTGGCATATTAATCCAGATAACACGCCGTTTTGTATCGGATATCACCGTTTGCGGATACACAAACATGTCTAAATAAATTAGACACCCATACGGTTTCGCAAACACGTGAAGTGCTACGGAAATACACCGGTTTGTTTACATTTGTTACCTGTAAAAACAGCTCAAAGAGGAGCTCTTCCGTCACTTGAGGATCCAAATTACCAACAAAGAGCGTCCGGTCGGCTTCATCCGCTATACCCATGCTAGTGAGATACCCTGTATAGCTTCTGTTTTAAACCCTTTAATGATGGATGAGAACCAAAACGTAGAAATTAGATCCCTCAGGCCGCGGCCGTTCAACATCGACAAGCTACTATCTGCTTTAAATGCCGCCAATGTCTGCCGTATCACGATGCGTTATGTCGCACAATGTCGCAAAACCGATTCCTGCTGTTGGCGACCTGCGTATTGTTATTTCCTTAAAATATAAATGTCGTTAGTAAAATGGACGGTACTAAAATAGCAGATGTAATGGAAACCGTTCATCTGTGCCACATTAACGAATTCTTACCTGACCTCTGCTCTTTAATCTGTCTGTAAACACTAGCTTACAATGATCTGTAATTAGGCCTATGTCTATCCCTAATATAAACATATATTATATTTACTTTTTTCTACCCAGTCTATATTGTGAATTTTGATATTTTCAATCGTTGAAAACAAAATATGTATAGATATCCCGTTGTTTTTTTTTTCTCTTTTTCAAATGGATTAAATTAAAGGGCCCCCATATTTATGCATAGGATTTGTTCGATTTTTATTGAGCTTTTGATATCCAAAATAAAATCTAGTGACTTTTTATTTCCTACAGATACTACATTTCATAGCTTGGACATAAGTATTTATCTAGTTCAAATGTATAAAAGTGTAGAAAAACACGTTATTAAGAGAAGGTAATTCCTATAACTGTACACCAAACATACACATGTTTCAAAATAGGTTTTGCTAAAAATATTTTGATGCGTGGGTGCAGGTTTACCAAACTCATGCGGAGACAGGAAAGGAAGCTGAATTTTTTTTGGGTGCAAAAGCCGAGTCAGCAGGAAAAACGCAAAGGTAGGTAGGGTACAGTATATATTGTGGGGGATTCAGGCGTGTACCTGACTTGTTTATAGCAAATGGTTATATAAAGCGGAATTAAGACCGAGTGTGTTTCCTTCTAAAAATTACTTGGTTTTCTTTATGGAAAATATAATTTCTGAAAAGTGTAAGTTGTTTTATATTTTCCGGAACTGTTTGTGCTGCTTCATTCATAATATTCTAAGGATATTGAAATGGCATTGCAATCCTCATCAGAAGAACCACTTACCCTAAGCTGGGCTGTGGGGGGCTGGGTGACTGAAACCTAGATCTCAAGCATAACAAGGAACACGGCTGGGGTATTATACCCCTGTACCAAATTCCAATATCAAGTGGGAGTCCTTGGTAACATAAAACACATAAAAAGTACAATAGCATGGTCCACTGGGACTTGATCCGGCTTCCTTTACGTCACAAAGTAAAATATCCGTACGGGCTATATCAGTATAAATTATATCTTCCAGGCGCTATGTAGCGTTTCGGTGAATTTTTTGGAACGTTATTTCGTTATACTGCATTGAACAAGTAATGCCGCTAGGTGGCACTGCTTCCCCTCTTTAATTTATTGGGTGGCGAGGACGCTACATCTACGTACCATTAGGACCATGAAGGGCTGCATCTTAGAACAAAAGTCCATGTTTTAAAAAAGATTTGGTGTCAGACTTAGACCTGCTGCCACACACTGAGCTCGGAGGGAAGCAGCTGAAAATAACGACGCCTTAGTGGAGGGCCAAAAGTCACTCCTGAGTTATCCTTTCTGCGATTTTGTGCTCTTTATGCCAGAGGTTGGATCAGTCTTAAAATATTAAAGTATCAGGTATGAATGGAAACTGTCAGTGCAGTTCCGTTGAGAGCAAGGGCGAGGACTTGATTGACTTTCCTTGTAATGGTACTAAAGAAAGACTATAACATGTCACTTTGCCCCAAGTGATTTCACTTCTCATCACTAATTGAAATGATAATCTAGGGATTGACTTGAGAGCAAATGGACGTGAGTTGAAAGTAATGCAATGGGACACAGTTTGGGGAATTTAATATAAAAGCGCCAAACTCTAAAAGGCCTCATTCTTCCCATTCATTGTCATGTTATGGGGCTAGTGTAACAGACACTGACAGTGACAATATTTCTGGATGCTTTTTAGTTGTTCCATCAATTAATCCCACAGCCATCAAACAGATGTGAACAATAGGTTTTTTTTTATTATTATTTTTACAAGAGAGGCTTTTATGTTGAAAAGATATATACAGTCTCAAAGATTTACTTTTTAATCTTTTTTTGTGAAAATGGTTCATTGGGATATTGGTGAAAAATCCATCCATCGATCTATCCATCCATCTTGTAACCACTTATTCTGGTCACGGCAGGGAGACCCTCCAACCTCTCCCAGAGAGCAGGGGGCACACTTTATGGGATGCCAGACTTGTAAGAAATTTCTATACATTTTTGGATTGTTTCCTTTTTTTTGGGGGGGGGGGGGGGGGGGGCAGATTTGCTTTCCGGCAAATTCCGTTGCCCTGGTTATCCCAGATTGCCGTCTACCAGTCAGGCAGCTTTCATTCACTGCATGTCAGAGATGCACTCTGTGTGATTAAAATTCTGGCCCCCGCCATCACATCCGTCCAGCGTCCTGTGTTTGCATGACTGTATATCAAACTGAAAATGATAGACCACTGTTTAGGCACTGGCATCTGTCTTCTTCAGAGGAAACCCCCTCTTTTGGGTTGGGAGGGGTCACTGCCGAAGGGGTGCCGTGCCATTTTCACCCTCTTCCTGAATTTTTCATCCATCCACTCTTTAATATTCATAATTTCATAATTTATGTTGAACGTAGGGATTTAGGGTCATAAAACTCAGAAAAATGTTTGCTCAATAAACCCTCTCTTTGCTGTGAGAAGATGGCATCCTTTTACAGCCCGTGTCTGTAGTACTCATCTAACGGCCCGTGTTGCTTCCTTTCCGCAAGATCCCACCATTTCTGTGCTTTTGTGGGATTAAAACAGGAGCATTTGATAATAACAGATGACACTGGGCATGTCAATTTAACATAACTCAGCATGAACTGATTTATTTAAATCAGCCTTTGTTTGTGCATACAAGCCTGTGCTCACCCAGCTGTGTCCCCATAAAAACTCCCTAACTCAGGAAGGACCCTGCGCTGGACTCAGTATGTCAGGAACGAGATCATCTGACAAGGGTCAGAGCATTCTGAGGACTACATAGGGCAAGGAAGAGCCCATGCTGAACAATTATATACTTTAAAAGCCAGTCTAGGCCTTTCAGCGTCTCCAGCATTCTTGCAAATGGTTACAGAACCACAGGTTCCATCAAACACGGACTAGGTCCCAGTTAGGTCCTTTAGGTCAACCTCCGCTCTATCATCAGTGCCCCCGGGTGTGCCTGATACTCTCTCAGTGACCTGAAAATTGATGGACCGATGACCTGGCCCCCTTCTGTGGCCCCGCACTCATCTGGGGACCAGACAGTTCCAGACGCAGTGTCCACTGGAATTCATCTTGGGCAGACTACAGTCTGGCTTCCAGTTGTCAAAAGGGATCAGATTAAGAGTCTGACATCACTTCTGTGTGAGTATGGAATTGTGTGCCAAAAATGATTCATAAATATTATATAATTTTTTTATATTTACAAAATTTGCATCAATTAGATCATATATACAGAATATATAAATTTGTTAAAATCACAGCATACATTGATACAAATTGATGACCATCATAAAAAGACTGCTGGTTTTATTTATTTTAAAAAGACTATACTAATTAAGTTAAATATTCGTGATATTTCAGATCCACGTATTAAGAGATTGATAAGATTTTCGAAATACATATAAAAAATTATTTTTTTGTTGGAATTTCACTGACACGCAGTGTTTAAAGATTATTTATTTGAATGGATAATGGGGTAACAGGCTTTGCTGTCATATTTACATTTTATTCACAATCAGCAGCGAACGTTGCAGTGCAGCTTCTCGAGTTCTGCAGCAGTCGTGCAAGCTGCACAAAAACAGACACCTTGTGTAATGCGATATCAGAAAGAGCGAAGGCAGTGTGCTGTCTGGCAGCGAGGAAGTGGACAAGATGAGGTTCACTGGGCTTAGACCTCCGACGCGTCCCCCCAGCCCCGGATCCGCGGTGTCCGTGGGCTTCATCCCGAACGGGCTGACGTCACGGGCGATCGAACGCCGCTGGGAAGGAGGCGCCCCGGCTCGAGCCGAAGGTACCCCGGTGTGAGCGAATTGGAGACTCGGCGCACGTTTTAATCCCTTGAGGGGATTTTTTAAATGTGACAACTAAACGAGGACGTGGTGCTGGTTTAGCTGCTGTACTTGTACATCTCTGGCAATTAGGAGGTAGAGATTATTCATGGCGACGATGGCTTTTTCTAAAGCTCTCCTCTGTCCTCACCTTGCAGGGGTGACCATGAACATTCTTCATTGCCTCCCACACCATCTGTCCACTGCGCCACATAACCACAACCACAGGTGGAGAGGAACCTCTGGCTTTAGCTGTCCCACGCCAACCCACCATCACCACCCCCCATGGTTGAAGTGCCGCATCCATCAACAGGATGTTAGTGTCTTGCTTGTGTGGTCAACTCAAGCATCGCTCATGTGATTGTGCCCCCGTCCTTCCCAACACCCAGCTTGTTCAGTATGTGTGTGTTTGGGGGGGGGGGGGGGGGGTCTGGCTGTCGACAACACCGATGGATCCACCCCCCACCCCACCCTGCCCCCGACGTTCCTTTTTGCCGCAGAACTTTTCCAAAGAGGTGTCTGTTTGCTTGAGTTGCATTGATTAAATTATTAAGAACGTAGTACAGGACGGCCAGCCCGTAATAGGAATGAATCAGGGCCGCCGGATGATTGAACCTCCGTTTCGAGTAGCGAGGCCTTGGCGAATTTCTCACACTCAGCGAATCCTCACCTCCTCTCCACGACCGCCTGTTGAGAATAAAAAATACCCCATGCCAACGGGTCCATATGGAGGGTGTTTAATGGAGGGAGGAAAGCGGGGATATAGACATGCTTACATGATTAATTAATGAATAGATATCCTATCTATCTACAGTACATCCCGGGGCCTGTGGAGATTCCAAACCATACTGGCGGCTTTTTAATATCCAGAACGCCTTTGTAGTGATAATGAGGATTTTGTCGACAGAAGAAGGGGAAGGTTTGGGCTGTTTTTGCAAAAGCGCTTCATTCGAGTTGCTCCTCGCCACCGATGCCAGAGACCCCTGGAGTCTTGGTGAGGGGCTAAAGCACCGTAGCGGCTTAGCGAGGAAACAACGCGGCGATCTGGGGAACCTGGCAGAGAGGGAGCCGACTCACGACCCTCCGGGATGATGCCGGGGGCGAGTCCGGCCTTCAGACAGCCATCGCGAGGCACGATTAAAACGAGCAGGAATTTCCGCCTGGAAACAGCCCACCGTGTTCCGATTGTGCCCAGATCTTGGCGCTTCCTGTCCATCTTCTATCCGAAATGTCATCCCTTAGATTTAAATTACGTTCATCATCTACAACTCTGGAATTTACGATTTTCAGCTATTAAAAGCTGAGTAGCAAAGGTAACCAGTGGCCTGTACTACAAAGCGGGGTTACTGGCTTATTGGGGTAACTTGGCGGATTTAAGGTAGTCTGGGCAAAATGTAAGTGAACGAATATGAAGTCCATTTAAACCAGGGGTCTCCAACTCCGGTCCTGGAGAGCTACTATACAGTAGGTTTTCTGTCCCACTTGGCTTCTGATGAGCCACACCTGCTCCTGGTATTTACCTGAGAACAGGTGTGGCTCACCAGAAGCCGGGTATGATAGAAAACCTACTGGACGGTAGCTCTCCAGGACCGGAGTTGGAGACCCCTGGTTTAAACTGTGATACCTTAAATCCAACAAGTTACCCCAATAAGCCAGTAACCCTGCTTCGTAGGTAAATAGAAAGTAAAATAAACATAATGAATAATAGAAAAACAGAAGTAAAATTACTATACCAAGATTACCAAAATAAACAACGTAAAAAGTGACATACAGTATGTTATGCAATGGTTCTTTATTCTTAATTTCTGAGGGTGTAGGAAATGTAAAAAAAAATGTCTATACGTGTCTATAAGTGGATTTATTAATGGTTGAACCTGAGTCTAATATTCCTAAGGACATCCTGGAAGGCAGAATGTTCTAACAAACAGTCTGACACGTTAACTCAGGGATGCCGTTACTCGTTCTGCGACAGTCATTTAGCCTCCCATCACTTCTGAGCAGTTTGCCCCCCACCCATTAATAAAAACCCGTAATTTTTGGGGACAGTCCTGCAGGGGACTGCTGCCCACAGAGGTCCACAGAAGATGCATTTCATGTCCTGCTTGCTAATATGCGTCATTTACTTTCCTAACTTGCTGTCCCCGATATAAAGCAGTTACTACTTTTCATTTAATTCCCCGGAAGTGGCACCTCTGAGCTGCTTGTATCACGGACAATGGCTTTAATGCGGAGTTGCATTCCCCGGTGCAGAATGATGAATGTGACGATCGCTCCATTCAGCACGGGAAGCACAAACACATGAAGTGAGGATGGGGTGAAGGAAAGGGGACTTTATCTGGTGTGGGGCTGAGGAGGCTTGAGATCATCAGATAAATGGAGACAAAACAAGCTAAAATAAAGCAGGCAGGAACTGGGCATGAGGGTCTGAGGACAGCACCTTTAAAAGGGAGAGTCGGCCAGTTCTGTGCAGGCAGAAAGAGTTCCAGTTTGTACCTTTGCTTATCAATGGGGCTGTACCTTCAAGGGAAATGCCAACTGTACCCTATAGCTGTAGGTAATTGTACCTTTTAAGGTACAGAAATGGACTCTGCGGAAGGTCCCCAAGGTACAAACATTAATGTACCCCCAATGGTACAAAAATATTGCTCATTGTCCATTTGTGTATCTTAAAAGGTACATTTACCCTTGAGGGTAAGCCCCAGTAACAAGTAAAGGTTTAAATTGGTACTCTATTTTTCTGACTGTGTGTACCAGAATTGGTGACCTACGTTTGTATGTTTCTGATCACCTGACTCTGCTCCTATTATGGCCACGCCCCCTGCCTTACAACAGACTGCAACACACACATCGTGTTTCCTTTACATTCTATAGGGCACCATCTCCACTGGCCCATGTGTGAATGCTATTAAGATTCCAGTTAATCCAGTCAAGCTTCACTGTACCAGAGCAGCAGAGAATTTTTAAATATGGTTCAACATTTTTCGAGGGCTGTGTACGGGACTGCTGGCTTCCCAGTGCTTTTATTTCACTGGGGGAGTAAAAAGCGTGGAGGTGCAGTGGCCGAGTCTGGCCGATTACTGCCAGGGGAAGTGTCTGCATCAGTAACATGGCTGATGGAGCTGTGCTTTCAAAGCTATATTGGCTAAATGAAACAGGACAAAACTTAAGCTCAGGGAATTGTCCTGCTGGCCCCCAGATGACTTCCTAACACGATTTCTTCGCCTGTATGGACTTCGTGGACTTTAGGCAGCTGCAGGTGCCATATTACATCTCAGCTCACCTTCAATGCAGTTAACGTCCTTCTTGCCTCAATGTTCTCCCCAGTTCTGATGGTCTCCATCTTTCTCTCATCTTCTGAAGACCCAAGTGCTAGCACCTAAAGCTGCTCACACCATGAAGTTCTGCTCACTTGGCCAGCGATACAGCTTATCTTCATGACATGAAATCCAACCAATTGTCTATGTGTTTGAGGTACATCAGGATAAAATAAACAAATGAAATCTATTGTAAAACCACGATGCTTCCTAGACTCTTCTCTCTGAACTACACCAGTCTTGTACTATACTCGGATCTTCTCGTGTGTATTCAGCTCTCTATCATCTCTCGGGTCTAAATATGTGGACTAATAATGTTCTGTCTGGCAGTCCATGCGGAATATGTGCTCCAACACTAAATGCAGACGCTGTTATAGGAAATGGATGGATTAATGGATGTTATGTGTCTTATCGATTATTTCGCTGCATTAAAGAAACAAGTACAACCACTTATTCCATTAAGATAAAAAAAAATCTGGGCAGTGCTTGTTTACGACTTTTTATTTATCTGCTGTTATCTCATCCCATGCCGGGTGAAGCCCTGCCTCTTACCCAAGGCTGAAACATGGATTGATTGACTAGGTCCACCTATCAAGTCAGCGGGGAAACTCGTGCTAAAACATTTATAGAGTGTGAAACGGGGTTAAAATAAGGTCTTTCTCGATCAGGCTGACAAACGCATGCCGAGTGAATTAATTACTGTCGGACGAGTGATAACTGAATCGACTAGCAGACGCGTATCGGCGTAAAATTGCCTGGAACCAACCTGGAGACGGTCTGCATGTCTCCATGAGGCTTCCCTCATTTCTCCTGCTCTGGGTGTTTTTTTTTTATCTCCACCTGGATAGAGGTCCTTCAGGCCCCAAATCTCCATTAAGGATCAATCCTAGACGGTTCATGAGAAATTTATGTTGAACTCCTTTTTTTGTTTCATAAATACCTCAATATTTATTACAACAAAATCACAATGCAATATTTGAAGACTTTCCAGTACTGTGCTGTCATAGTGTATTACACAGAATACTTTATTTCCTGTTATGCTATCCTGATCCTGATCTTGCTGCATCTGTCCTTCCGACCAGATCGCAATTAAAGCCTGTGTCACTTCATTTGTCCACATACCCATTATTATTAATTGTATTATTTTTTCACGTTTGTGGTTAACCCGAATACTAACCAGCCGAAAGGAGCCATATCACCACGCATTGTAGCGGAGTCAGACGTACTTCGGTGAATAAATCAATTCCCCTCTCATGCATGTATACCGGAACAAGGACAGTAGTCCAATTAAATAGCGTAGTCAAGCTATAACTGTAGCTTGACTTAGCTGTGTTCCGGGGAACGACACCGGCAGGACAGGTAGTGCTGCTAATGAATATTTAGCATCTCAGTTTGTCTTCCCTGCTATTGACCCTGGCAATGTACATAAGTGAAAAGTAAAATATACGTCAAGCTAGAAACCCCCCTGAAGTAAACACAAACTCAAATTCTCAGGCTCTCCTTGAGTTGTTTACCGTTTCCTTCCTAAACTGCCAGATGATAGCACAAGGAAGCGCTGCACAACAAACCATACAAGTGACTTGCTGAGTATAACTATGTATTAGAGTGATTACCCCAATTAATTATGCAGGCTAATTATATAAGCTGCATAGGTACTCTAATTGTTGTTGCTAATACAGCAAAGCAGGGTAATTTGCCCATACAAAGAACACTAGTGACTGAGTCAATGATGAATAACATTTTTGTATACTAGCATTGTCATGTTTTTGATTAATTACCTCTCTCGTGAGTTCTTGTTAGATAATGGTGAGATTACTACCTATCCATCCATCTTCCACATCCAGTGATCCCACAGAGGTCACCATGAGCTTGTCCCCTATTCCAAGCAGCATAGGGTCATAATGCAGGGGGTCATTGCTCAGCCATAACCCAAATTCATTTAAAAAGCTCTTTGAGAATTTCTTTCAGGCAACATGAACAGAACA